AGGGAGGTACTGGAAGGAGAAAAGTAAGGGGACCTTCCCTGAAGCCTGTGCCCTATTGTGCACACGAATTCAGAATTTGGAGACAACCAAAATGATCTTTACAATGTTTAAAACGACAAATACCAGTACAACCACATCCAAGGACTACCACCTCCACAAAATAAGCCCCTCCTCCAAGGAGAATGGTCCTAGAAACGCCACTGGTTAGAGATTTATTTAATCAATAAAACTACATGTTCTAGGACCTATGACCAAGATGAAACACATTTGCTCAAAAACCATTGATGAACCAGGTACTTTTTCTTAGCACACCTTGTGCCTACAAAGTCACATAATGTGATAATTGTCATACAGATACCCTGGCTCTCTACGGAGCTTGACAATAAACAGAGCTAAACTTGGCTGGAATGTCCAAAGGAGTTGACTAGATCAATACAACCAATTGTCAACTGTTGAGTGTTCATCAAACTAAATTTAACTAAAGTTTCTGTTCAAATTTACTCATGACTGCAAGTCAGATTACCTATGCACAAGATAATGGAAGATAATGCAAGTTCATGCAACAGGGTACCAGAATTTATGAAAGAGGCTGAAGATTTAGACTGGCCCTTAAATCAGAAACACAAGAACTACACTATAAGAAGAAGACTTGTACTAACCATTCTGAGTTGAATCCATTCTTCATGTTCATAAGTCAGGGTACCATCCAATTCTGGGGTGAGTTGTGAGGGGTCAATGACCTCGTGTAGGTGTTCCAGGGATATCATGCTGGTCTGTAGAAAAAAGGAACACACAGAAAGATACATGTACACGAACATGAATAAACACATAAAACAGTTATTCAAATTCAAGGTTTTAATAAATTTGGTACTCAACTTTCTTGTTAACATCTTTATTTGTTTTTAAAGTAAACTTTAGAAGTCTTGCAATCCAAAACAGTTCTATTTTTATTACCTTAGTTTGCACTGGCTAAACTGATCAATGAAAAAGTTTAAATCATACAAATAATTAATTCAAATGAGATCAGACAGGATTACCACTGCCATGTAAGCATTGCTACGCCTGAATTCAATCTCAGTTTACCTGACTAGTTGACACTACTCAAGCTCCTGTGACTTGAGGTGTTGTGACCAAAGTTATATCAATGTTGTGATAAGCTTCAGCCACCAAGCTCGATTCTGGGCAGCATGAATGGCCTTGTTGTGTTGAAGGCCAATGGTGTGAAGGTCATCTTTGGCGAAAAGGTTTTGATGGTTGGTTATGTGGGTCCAAGAAGATGGCCAAAGGCACCTCCGGTCTTCATAAAGTGTGGCCGATCAGGCGAAGACGTTTTCATAGCAGGGTGCTGGTGGCAGGTGCTACCCGTGTGCGAGCGTACAGGTTGGTTGAAGACAGCCAAACCGGGAAATACACACTGAGGCAGTAGCGCATGAGGGCACCATGCGAAGCGTCAAGACGCCTGGCCATGGTTTCAGCGATCGCCAGGGCGTCGCACCTGTGGAGCAGAACTGTCTCGACTGTTGATTTAAAGAGCTGCTTTTTGACACTATCACATGCTGCTCCATCGCAAATCGTTTTTGGGCAGCGATCCAGGCCAACTGTTGACGCCATTGGATGGCGCTTCTACTATCTGCCACGTTGCAGCCAAGGTAGCAAAAGTCCTTGCAGACCGTATGGGTGACATTGATTGTTGTGCGGATGATAGAATGTGGAGTGTCTCCGACGTACATGACCTTTATCTTGCTGGCATTGAGTCATTGGCCCACTTTGGCTGATGCTGTCTCGAAACAATGTAGCTGGCATTGTGCTGCCTCCGCATCATCAGACATTAGCGAAGCATCATCGGCATATGCTAGTATGGGAATCTTTACAGCAGTCCGTCGCTGATAGATGTCTTCTCACAGTGTACCCTCTTCGAGGGTGAGTGAAATGCCCAAGATGTAGTCCATGACGATGACAAACAAGTACAAATGTAGGGTGCCAGTGTATCTCCTTGGAGTACACCGGATGTTGTGTTAAACTCATTGGTACAGCCCGAGTATGTACGCACACATGCGGCTGTGTTGGTGTAGAGATATCATTGCGTCGACGAAGGTTTTGAGTATGCTGTAAAATGACAGAATTTCTCTAAGAGCCCAACAGTCGACAAAATCGAAAGCCTTGGAGAAATCCACGAAGGTTATCATCAAGCTCAGCTTCCTTGCCAACGGCAGTGGTCTAGGTGGCGATAGATCCAGTTCAAGGGGCCGAATATTCAAGAGCCCATGAAAGTAGCCAGCTATTTTCAATAACTTGTCTTCTATGGACTCAGCAGCGACGATGGCAGTGGGTCGCACTTTTCTGCCGGTGATCTTACCAATAGCTTGACAGATCACTTGGCTTCGTCCTGCCTCATAGTGTTGAGAAATCTCATTGGTTATTTGATGTATAAGCTCCTCCCTCCGTTGTGCATATGTGTTTTCGACGTTCACCTCCCATTATTGGTGATTTGAATTTGGATTTGTCTGGGAAGCAGCACTGAGTTGACATCTGGCTTGTTCTACAGGTACCTCTGGGTCTGCATCCCATAAACATACTCTCCGTGTGGGGCAACACCTGGGTAGAACTTTGGCTGCAATGTGTCTAACTGATTCAACATACCGGTAGGCTGTGTAGCCTGGTCTTCGATCAAGCTTTCAGAAAATTTTGTCAATAAACGCTGTCGTATGGGGGGCGTTCTCAGTGCAGATCAATGCAGTGGATGATCTTTCTGTACGTGTTACGTCGGCCTCCACAGTCTAAGACTGAGTGTGCATGTTAGAAGAGTGTAATCTGAGTGAACGCATCGTGGTTTGATGTTGCATACCTTGCGTATCAAACGTGTCTGTTTCTTATTTACAAAGATGTAGTCTAACCGACAGTTTTGTTTCCATGAAACGGCGCTGTTGCATGACACCATTACATGCCACTAGGTCGCTGCTAACGACAAAGTCCGTGACGGCTTGATGTTGGTAGCTGTTCTTCACTGTTAAACCATCCAGTGGGAGATCAGTGTTTAAATCACAGACAAATGCTATTACGTCACGGTGTGGTTTTGAGGCCAGGTACCCCCTGATGATGTCGATACAATCGTTGGTCTCAGTGATGTCACCAGCACAGGTGGTTGGCATCTGGCAGTTTATCAGGTGCAAGCGCTTCTTATTCAGTTGAACAGTTGTTGCGATTATTCGATGGTGTATTGATTCTACATATAGTACAGTTCGATTGACTCTGGGCGAGAATAGGAAATCTACACCCCTGTGGCCCCCTGCAAGGGCAGTCCCAAGACATGCTTTCCAGCCACATACCAACGTCAATGGACACGGAAGGCATGTCCAAAACCCTGCAATGTTCCTGAATCCCAATTATGTCATAGTTTTGAGTTTTACAGAGCTTGGTCAGCTCATCCAATTAGTCTGCTTTTTTGAGAGTTTGAACATTGAATGTTCTAATGGTCACAGATGTGGGGGCAGATATTAGTGCCTCACAGCCCGAGCTGGCAGGCTTCAGGTCCGTTGGTGCTGCAGGTTTAACACGGTTTCCATACACACGGTTTTCAAACAACGGACATTTTGATCTTGTGGCACTTTTTTCTGCCCTTGTTCCCCGTCTGGTCCTGCGTTTGCACAAACCAAGCCTATCTATGTTGTATTGTGTTTGGCTATTGTGCACAGTCCATGACAGGCTCATCAAGACGCTCCTGCTGTATATTGT